AAAAAAAAAAAAAAATTCTAAGAAATATAAATCTCATATGCGTTATCCAGAAGTTCGATTCCGTCGTGACTGCGCATGTATTAGAAGATAACGCATAAATTAGTGAATTACTGGATGCCCTATTTATTATTTGAAGTATTGAATCAAACCCAATCCTGGAAAGAGTATAAATAACGAGCACAACGCACAGGTAAATCAAGAGAAGGAGAATTTATAAGAAATTAAGAATGAGCAAAGAAGAGGAAAATACATACCATATCTATAGGCGGTTACAGCAAAAGAAGAAGCAACAAGGCGCAGCGGTGACGGCGAAGGGTAAGTTCAGCGGATCCTGAGCTTGGGTTTTTTCGCCAATTCTTTTGCTTAGCTGCTATCTGATTTTTATTGATTGAATTGAAATTGAATTGTTTTCTTCCTTTCTTTCCCAGCAATTTCTTTGAGAAGTACCAAAGCAGAAAATGAAAATTAATTAATAAATTATTTTTGGATAAATTACCTGTTTTGTCCCCAACCTTTTCCCCTCAGTGCACTTTCCTCCCAATCGTTTTGCAATTGGGAAATTTACACTAACATTTTTCAACCTTTTCAACTCCAAAACAAATAAGTCACGAGAGTATAAGTTCGACTAGAGACACAGGATTGGAAGAGATTATATTAAGGTCGATTAGTATGATCTTGTTTGAGCCAAATTATTGTAGAATGAGAATGAAAAATGTAGCCGTTATTAGGGTCCACACAAAAAATTGAAAATTTAAATTTAAATGTTGATGTGATGGATAACGGTCATATTTTTTATTTTAATGAGATAATAATGTAGATCAAATGGAGGCTAAATATTTAGAATTCGATAAATAAAGATTAAATTAAACAACTTACCAATGAATTTAGAAAAATATATAGAGAAAAAAGAGTAATGATATTTGTAATCAGCTACTACACTAGTCGTTCTACGTGATTACTGTGTGATAGCTTGTATTTGAGACATTAATTTTTTGTATTTCTATTGTTTTAAATAACAAGTTGTCACATATAATGACTACTGCACTATATGATTATGAATAGCATTACTCGAAGAGGGGGGGAAAAAATAAAAGAAAAAGCCATGAGGCGTGAGGATGGGGAAGTGTGTCAGCTGGGTATCTGATAACTGGAGCCAACTTCGAGTTGGCATGATGCACGTGAGACAAGACCTCACTCGTGCTAACTAGAGAAAATGTACCGGTCCACATTTGTCTCTAAAATTTGGGCAACATAAAAGTTGAAATAAACTCTACTATATTTGTGAATACCTTAAATACACAACATCAAAATTCCACAATAATTCAAATATGTTGAAAATTTTGAATGTTAATTCGTCGTTTCTATCACGGTACATATCACTAACACGTGCTTTAGATTTTGCTGGGTTGTCAAGTAGAAGTATTTGATACTTAAAATCATTTGACATGTATATAATTGATTATGACATGAATAATACATATCGCATAGAGTAAAAGATTAAGTAATATTATTGAATTAGGCTTGTGAAATTAAGTGACATTCATTAATTTTTCATTATAAATGGAATTCAAATTTCTACATTTTGAGATGACGTATGTGCTAATGTCTCATAGACCGATGATCATCACGAGTCTAGGTAAATTTCATTGTTGTAAAAACTCATTATTTATCTTCTTGATGAGTTAATATTCTTGTAAGAGTATAGATAAAAAGTACACAAATAAAAGTCGGCATACATACACGTCATAATTGAGTGACTAAGTTAACTTAATTTTTTCCGTGACTACTTAAAATAATTCATTTGCTAGTAAACCATCATATTTGAATGTGTATATCGCATAGATTATCGCAATCACTCATTAAATATTGTAGGGTTAGCTGTACATCACGATTGAATAAAATTTCTTTATAGGCCAAACATAACTTCACATCATGAAGGGCTTATAATCAAACTCGTTGAACAATGAATAAGGAAAGGGCTTATAATCAAACTCGTTGAACAATAAATAAGGAACATAAGGTGTGTTATCCAGTAAAATTGGTTGAAATATTCTTTTGTAAACCAAAACTTTTTTTTTTACTGATGAATTCATTAGTTTTTCTTTAGAAGATATGCTTCACATACATATTGATTGGATCAATATATGTGTTCATTATATCTACCTAATTACTTGATTAAAATGTATTGAATTAAAATGTTAAAAATAATGAAAAAAAAAATTTATTGATTGGATTTAAAAATTTTGTTGAATGATTGGAGTGTAAAGTAAGAACTATTGTTTTGCCCTAACAAAAAAGAAAACACAGAAAAAGAATAGAGATTGATGGACAACACATCACTGACTGTCTTATGATTTGAAGTGTTTTGAATTGACATTTGACTAGTCATTTCAAATACCTCTTTTTCCTTCCCCCACTCTGAGAATGACCCCTCACTCAATCTATTGTCCATTGTCTTCTCTAGTAAATCTCTCTCTTAATGCCCACCCACCAATTATATATTTACTTTGTCAAATTCTGGCCTAACTATTATTTTCCTATTTTTGAGAATTTGATTGAAATCACAAAAATGATATAATAAAACTCAACCAATCCACACTTTCCAATTTTAAAGAATTTTAATGTCTATGTAGCAACTTCTAAATTAAAAGAAAATATAAATTTAACGAATAAAACCAACTGAAACATATATGGAACTAGTTTTTAAACCTGAATAAAATATCATACCTGGTATTTATTTTCAAGAACCGGGATATTAACCACTTACCATTCAAAATGTCATTAACAATTGACTAATGACAATGACGTAGGTGAAGTAATCGACCATTCACATTGCGATTCCCTAATAAAGGAAAAATTATATGAAATGGATGATGAGTAATTTCTGGTGGTGCTCATGACATCATTACTTCTAATAGATGTAAATGTTAAATTCGCATTCCAATTATGATTCGACAAGTAAAATATGATTTGACAATATTAAGTGCATGTTTGATAACCATTAATTTATTTTATAATTTGTTACATGATTATTTTCAATCACCAATTCTTAGAATAAAATATTCTACACGTATTACAAAAAAAAAATCATACTTTTTAACCACACATTCTCCTAAAAATCACTATTCATTTTATTTTTTTTTTAACAGTAATGCTTGTCAAATGGGCTCTAAGACTCGAGCTTTCATTTTAAATGGAATTCATTTCCGATTTCCACTTTTATTCTTTTTATTTCATCTTTTCCTTATTCGTACTTTTTCCGGACAAACGTATTAATAGAGAAAGAACACAATATAATTTTCCTGATATTCCCTAGCTTTCCAACTTGATTGTTGCAGTGTCTGAAGACTAGATTTTTATTTGCCTTCAAAAAATCAAAACTAAGTGTAAGTCAACTTTTGATATAGAATATTGGCACAATACTTATGTGATTCAATGGGAGAAAAATTGTGGCCTTGAAAATGGACACATAGGGGACACTAAGGAGGAAATTTTCCTATGGACACGCCATTGTAAAGTTAATAAAAATGCTATATAATATATGTGCGTCATTACGTAATTGACAAGTTAGATTGAATATGACTTTTAATAACTTTAATTTGGTACATGCACGCTCTTTAATTTTGTCGTCTTTAACGTATTAGAAAATGTTGTCTTAAAGCTTTACGAGATCCATCAAATCAAAGCAATCGGTGCTTGATGTCGATACAGACTTTGAAATTGCAGACAAATAAACGAGACTATTTTAACTTTTATCAAATAAACGTTACTATTTTGTTATAAAAAAGTAAA